TCCTTTAAATCGCTTGAATCTTTTGTACCTTTTTCTTTAGGACAATGCTGTGAATACACAAATGCAGGCATATTTTGTATTTATCATGCTTTCTTCTTTACAAAGAGGAAACGGCAAAATCGACTCCCTTTCTGCTTTGAGTCTATCAATTTGAATCTGTCCGCCCTTAATCATCTAAGCACACAGCAGGGCTGAAAGATGCTCAGTTTAACCTGACAGCTCTGTGCAGTTGTTTGTCACATATTTTCTGTTCATATTTTCCAGCCCCAATAGTCAAATCAGGAGCAGTACTGTTATTACCACTGTTACGAGCTGCAGTTTTGTTTGAAGTCTTTGTGTCGAATCTCAATTTTCCAACATATATTTACACACGTACGCACTCATATTCTGGCAAACATACTCTTGCAAATATTTTTCTACTTTTTAAAGAACGACCGTGTTTATCACAGTAATACGGATAACAAATTTGAGGGAGGCTATTTTAGAACTCTAGTACGACCCATCCGAAGAAGGCTCCACAGCCCAAACATCGTGTCTCCTTTCTTTTAATTTCAGCATGAAATAAACCTTACCTGTTCCTCTATTTTAAAGCTTTCTTTTAGAGCTTGTCCACGGCATTAATAACTGCGCAGAAAAATACAGAAGCTATATAATACATAAATACCTAGTATACCAACGCAATAAAGAAACAGTGCATAAACATATGAAAGATAAATGATTTGTCTGTTTGGAGTTTTAATACTTAAGCAATCCTAACATTTTCATCCAGGCACTTTCTGAATCTAGAGTTCGGCCTTTAACAACTTGTAATGGCTACATGGACACAGTTTTCACTGTATTCAGCATAACCACACTACTTGTATATATTGCACACACCATGGACACACAACAGCTCTGCTCACATTGAGTTTTATTCCATTTCTATTACATCTAATATCATTTAACCTATTTTCATAACCTCAAAATTGTGATTTTTGTGTTTTTGTGATTTCTATGATTTTTGTGAGCTCGCAGAAAAGACATTTCATTGCCAGCAACCACTGCTGCACGCCGTACTGTTGTGCATTTGAGAAATAGACTTTGATTTGATTTTGAACCTAGGTAGGAAATCTGTACCAGGCAACCTCAAATCTTTGTGTAAAGACACTTTTATTTCTATATCTAATGAATGAATGCCCTTTTTATTTTCCAGTTGTGGCCGCATGCCATTACTAAACAGTCCTTAAGGTTGGTCCTATCTGGACCCCTCACTATTTTATACTTGGAGGAAGTCTTCTCTCATTGTCCTATGTTCAGGAGTAAAGAGATTTAAGTCCCTTGATAGCATCATTCCTGCTGCTCTTTTTTAAATTATATTAAGGCTGTAATATAAAGGATTATTTCTCAAAGGTTGAGCAGATTGTTCTCATATTTTGTATTCCTCCCCACACACCTAACTACTAGATTTTCTGAAGCCTTATGTTATAGTGTCTCCTAAAATATAAATTCTGAAATTGCAGTAGGTATGCATTAGTAGGCACGCTGTAGGTTTGCATTACCATTTAAGTAGGTGTCATAACGGGAACTGGTCAATTAATAAAAGACAGAGGGTACAGATTAGGATCGAAAGCTATAACCAGGGTGATGTAATTAATGGAGTATTACAGGGATCTGTACTGGGGCCACTCCTCTCCCTAATTTATACAAATGAAATATAATTGATCTCATTCTGAATTGTAGATCAGAGGTCTTAAACCCTGTATCTGGGTCATTCCCATTTTTAACTGTTTATTATTAATTGTTTGACTAGTAAGACCTGTTTAATCAGAAATAACCATCTGAAGAGAGACTGTGTGAAGTTCTGTGTGTTTAAACTGATGAAACAGTACCCCTGAAGTTGGGTATTTTCAACACTCAGGATAGAATGAAGTAATAGTTAAGATTCTAAACAAGTAAGTAGATCAATGGAGTCATCAATTAGCAATCAATTAGACTTAGAGCTCAGCTGGAGTGAAAACCAGGGCTGAGAACCATCAATGTACCCTGAACTGCCACATAAAAGAGTAACAGTGATGCTTTGGTGCAATATTTCATAGATAAATTCTTTATATTCATTCATTACATTAGATAATAGGGCTCATGTACATTGCTTAATCCTTAGATGAAGTAAGAACTTTATAATCACACCAGTGTTTTCCATTCCCTTTAACTCTTTTAAAGAAAAAAAACCCTTTTAAGGTCTCGAAAAATGTTCAGATTTCAAAATCCCCTTGAATTGCTACAGCTGGTCTGAAACCTCCTACGGCTTTTCTCATCATGCAAAACCAGCCTTCTAGATCTAATTGATATTAGGCAACAGCTCGTCCAGCGCGTTGTCGGCGCAGAGACCGCGATCGAGGCAGTTGGGCCTGACGTCATCGTTCTCAACGGCCGATGTGGTCGTGACTGAGCTGAGCGGAAAACGCAGCACCAGCACTTTATCTCTGCCATCCCCGATAATATCAATTTATCTAACTCTCTTCTAGGTCATGTATCTTCTGAGACCAGGCTGTGTTTGGTGACAGCTCGGTTTTCCATTTGGCAGAAGTCGTACCTAAAACACCGAAGACCCTAAGAAAGGTCACGCAAGAGAAGAGGTTATTGGGTAGTTAGAAGATAACAGATCTAGGGATCTCATTGAGCCAAGGTATCAGATTCAACAACACGGCAGGCTAGCTTGTTCCACACTCCTCTAAGTTTTTGTGTAAAGGCCTCCCTTTTGTCTTTAGTAATTAGTGGACTTCCAAACAGTTTCCACTTGTGTCCTTGTGTGTTAGGTTTTGTGTTTCACTGTTTGTTCTGAAGATGTCTGCTGGGTTAACTTTGGCAGGGCCCTGAAGGGATTTGAATACTCACATCTCCTCAAACATTCCTCTATTCAAGACTATTCTTTTGACTTCAGCACCGGAGTTCTGCCCCCCTGCATCAACGATTTAGACTGACGTCGGCTGAGATCATCCCCTTTGTTCCTAACTGTTTTATTCAATTCAGGGTCAGTTCACACCCATACCAGGGGTTTTCAGAGAAGAATTTAGAGATCATTCAAAACAAAAATCAGAATACTCGTCAGCACTCAGGAAGCAAAGTTCGTATCATTGAAATACTATTTGCTTAATTGATCAATAACTTCATTGTTCTTCCATCTTCAAATAACAAGTGATCAAGAGTGACCTATAAGACTAACTGGATTGGGAGTCTTCAGGATCAGGCTTGGAGATTCTGCTCTCCTGCTAATTCAATGCAATCTGGACTTGGTCTGTTCCAGTTTCCATCTGGACCTCCGATGGTTGGTCTTTGAAGCCAGATACCTACCGGGTGGTGTATATATCAGCTAAAGAAGCCATGTGATTGGACAGTAACACAGAGAGTCCCCGAAAGCCACATACTGTATATAGAGAAGTGATGCGTGGTCATTTGCTTTTTAATTGTATCCGTGTGCAGTAGGGGGAGACCAGGTCACCTGTGGGGGTGATTGGTATGTCCCAGATTTATCGGCCTCATGAGGACAGTTGATTGAATATTTATTTACCAACGGACATCACTAGGAGTCCAGCAGAAGCTCCACTGCAGACTGGAGAAAGGGAAGGGCTGGCTTGTATGTTATACGCCTGAAAGAAAAGGTCTTTGCAAACTGCAAACAAGAACCTGCAGGGGGGAAAAAAAAACTTAGGCTAAAAAACATGACAAAATAAATGCAAAATAGGCAAAGCAAAGCTTATTTTTGCTTTTATTGCACAAGAAAGGTTGTTTTTTTCAATCGGCCTCCTGGAAATTTTAGAGATGAGGCTGATTTGGCAAAATCCTCATATTATTATGTTTCATAAAATCTTATTTTTTTCCGCAAAGCAATAGGAGGTCATATGGTATCATATCGTATGTACATTTCAGTGGAAATAAAGAGAGGCTGTAAGAGCAAGTGAATATAAATAGAAGAGCTGATGTTTCTTTTTTCCACTGAACTCAAAAGACTGCTTATAAAATTTTACTTGACGTCAAGCGCAAACTATATATCTTTATCCATCTCTTCTGCCAGGGCACTGGACTGACAGCGTGATGCAATCACTTCTGCTAAAGACGCCTGCTTCTCTGAACACACCGAAAAAAAAAATCCAGATTCCACTGAGCCAGGCTGCTAATGTTATTGTTGTCGCTGAAACTGAAACTGACATCTCTAAATTTAACGACGTGGGGAAAAAAACCAACAACCTGAAATACAGTATTCATTACTGTAACCTGTCACACTTTATAAAAGATCATAATTCTAATCCAGTCCAGCGATGTTAAACCAGTGCAGCTACACAGTACAGTAATTCCAGTGCAGTGATGTTAAACCAGTGCAGTTACACAGTGCAGTAATTCCAGTCCAGTGATGTTAAACCAGTCCAGCTACACAGTACAGTAATTCCAGTGTAGTGATGTTAAACCAGTGCAGTGATGTTAAACCAGTGCAGTTACACAGTGCAGTAATTCCAGTCCAGTGATGTTAAACCAGTGCAGCTACACAGTACAGTAATTCCAGTGTAGTGATGTTAAACCAGTGCAGTTACACGGTACAGTAATTCCAGTCCAGTGATGTTAAACCAGTGCAGTTACACAGTACAGTAATTCCGGTTAAATTATTCGAAATTGGTGCAGTTACACACATTACATTAGTTCTAATGCAGCCTAGCACAGTGACTCTCAGTTTAATGTACTAATCATTTATTGTAGTCGGTTTCTTCCAAAACTTTGAAGTGCATCGACTGCCTGGCCATAGAAGCAATAAAGACGTTTAGCGTCAGTTTGTCTATCAGTACTCATGTTGGAGTTTTTAAGAATAATACATTCACATATCTGGACCGCTAAACGGGACAAAACATACTGCAAATGTAGCCATTTCAAGTCCTTTTCTGCCACCTAATGGCGGCGCCAGCTTTCAGATATGATTTGCGCTTTTTCTCTGCGATTTACGGTAGTGCGGTTTGTAGCTGAAGAGCGTTGGAAGTTGGGATTGGAGACAAAATGGCGGCGCCCATATGAGTGGTGCTATTGACTTTCCTTTAGATTTTGAATGTTTTTTTCCTCCGATAGCATTTTCAGATCGGTTTCTTTGAAGTGGTAAACAGAAACTGAAGCTATCATTGCTTTTCTTGGAGTAATAATATAAATAATCGTAGTTTCAGTTTTGTTACTATTGTGCTGTGTAACCTAAGGGGGATTTAAGCTTTTTGAACGTGCTAAACTGTCAGGTACGTATTGGCTAGGGTGTAGTGCTTTTATTCTGCTGTTTTACAGATACAGGGAGATGTTGTTTTGCAGTACTGTGTTTGTCTCTGTTTTTTTATTTATGGTATCGAAGTTGCGATATGATGGTTAGTGCTTTGAAACTGAAACTTATTAATTGGGTGATATTAATGTGCTTCATATAGGTTTAATAAATACCAAGCAATGCCAGCGACTGCAAAGGTAAATTGCATTCGCATAAAAGCACCAGCCTAATACACTTCAAATGTATTCCTATTTTAAAGTGTAGCGATTAAAAATCCACTCAAGTCAGTATTACTGCGCTTTAGTGTTTAGTCGGTGTCTGTACCGTGTCCTCTTCCTCACTCTTTAACATTAATGAATTACTGTGGTGCTCTGTAGAGAGCCTGTCAGCCCCAGACCCCACTTCTACTGCTTTCCGTTTTATTAAAGCTGCTGTATTTCTGTCTTCAGGCGTCCGATGGCTTTTCTGGGGAATCTGTTGAGGACGAGTCTGTTGATCTTCAAGTCGACAACACAGTCAGTGAGAGACTTCCACACAGGTATTACTTTCTCTTGTTATCTAACGTTTCATCTTATGTGTTTACCTGGAACCCTGAACTCTGATAATTTGGATTCATAATCATAATCTGTAAAAAAAAAATAGCGCAACAATGACATGCAGAGATGAGTTTAAAGATCAGTTAATACATTGTCAGCATTGCACACTTACAGTAATGTAGAAATTATCCATTACCTGCAATCACAAGCTGAAGAACTGGGTTTTACACCCCTATTTCCAGAGAGGCCCTAGTCCATCCAATTTTATGTGTCATCTGGTCCTGAAGAAACAAAATTTACTCAAGTAATGGATCACTAAAACAGGCTGTTTTCCAAATGCTGGAGCTTCTGACCCTTCAGAGCTAGTATGTCTCCAGGAATGTGTTCCAGATCTGTAAATGACTTAATTGAGCGAAGCACTCACTTCTGCATCTGAGATGTTTTGCAGTTTGAGGGTTGGATGGAGGGTAGGCTAATGAGAAATGGTGCCATTGCCTTGTTCCTTTGGAAATGGGTGACTGGGCATAGCCAGTCAAGCACCCAGCATGCATTTTGGAGGCTGTGGGAAACTGCGGTACCTGGAGGAAGCCCATGCACTGAGAGAACTTGCAAACTTGGCACGTGTTGGAATCCAGCAGGAGACAACCCAGGAGAGGATGCAAACTCCACACAGACTGATGCACAGGACCCCAGAGGCGTGGGGCGGCAGCGGTGCTAACTGACAAGACCAATGGCCTCCACTCAGAAAAGAACTGCAGAACTTACTCTGCAGCATTTTACAGGTGCACTTTCAGAGTCCATCAGAGGGCTGGATCTCACCACAATCAGTGAGAGTTTTCCTGATGGTGTAACAATCTTCTGCAGACATATTATTATCCTAAATACACTTCATCTCTTTTTTATAAATATTATAGGCACAACTGCAGGCCAGCATATGTCTTTGTGTCTGTAATGAGGATGTTAAACCAGTGCAGTTACACAGTACAGTAGTTCCAGTCCAGTGATGTTAAACCAGTGCAGTTACAC